ACTCATAGCAGTTTTATTAACAATAGCAAGAAAAAAGAAACAGCCCAAATGTCCATCAACAAACCAATGGATTGTGAAATTTTTATATTTTCACACAGTGGAATACACAATGGAATATGCAGCACTCAGAAACAATGAGGTAAAAAAATAGTATATAACATGGGAGAGGCTTCAGAGCATTATGCTGAATGAACTAATTCAGTCTCATGAGAAAAAAAAATGCGTAAGATCATTATTGTAAAAATAGAAACATACCTAGTAAGATGTGGATAAAAGTCCAAAGGGGGAAAGGGAAGAGGTGAGAAGGGTTGAGGATGAAAAGTGGAGGAAGTCAAAAGGTCACAGAATTTCATAGGCAGAGGGAGGAGTGAAGGAATTAGGAAATAGCTTGTGAGGACTTAAAAAGATTTGGTAATAGTGGTCATAGATCAGTGGTAATTCATTTCATAAAACACAATGTATGAGAATGATCCTATGAAATACATTATGAATGAAAAATGTGCAAAATCCAGTATATATAATTCTAGCACAATATGTGTATTTTTATGAAAACTAATATAAAAGAAAATAAATATAATTTTAAAATGGAAGTAACCCAAGTGCCCATTCACAAACAAATGGATAGAAAAATCTATGATACATTCACATAATGGAATATCATGTAGGATTTAAAAAGATTGAACTCATAGAACATTACCTAACATGAGTGAGTCTGGAGGACATTATGCTGAGTGAAATATCTCAGTCTTAAAAGAGCAAATACTATATAACACTGCTATTATAAAATAGGACCAACATGAGGGGAGGGTGGAGAGGGGATAATAGGAAAAGAATGGATTGATAATGAACTTTGAGTTGGAACAAATAAGGGAAAGGAAGATCTTAAAGGAATATATGATTGGTATGACAACAATCTGGAACAAGAGGTGCATTACAAAGTGGGGAAGAAAACGTGCAACAATGAATGAATAAAAAAAAAAATTTAAATGCACATACTGACCAGATAAATTATTTACTTAGAGAACTACCAGAAATATAGGCTGGATTTAGAAGAGGTCGTGGCACTAGGGACATTATTACCAATGTCAGATGGAACTTGGCAGAAAGTAGAGAGTAACAGAAGAATGTGTTTTATTGACTATGCAAAGTCATTTGACTGTGTGGTTCACAACAAATTGTGGCTAACCTCAAGGAAAATGGGAATCTCAGATAACTTTATCATGCTTATGTAAAACCTATACTTAGACCAAGAAGCAGTCCTCAGAATGGAGCATGGTTCAAAATCAGGAAAGGAGTGTGTCAGGGATGCATTCTGTCCCTGTACCTTTTCAATATGTATGCAGAACAGATCATTCGGGAAGCAGAGCTTTATGAGAAGTGGCATCAGGACTGGATGACTCCTTGATAACCTATGATATGCAGATTATGCAGCCTTGCTTGCTGAATCTGAGAAGGACCTGAAGCACTTGCTGCAAAAGTTCAAGTACTGTAGTATTGAGACTCAACATCAAGAAGACAAAGATTCAAAAAAAAAAAAAAAGACAAAGATTCTCACAACTGGGCCAATTGGCAGCACCATATTAGATGAAGAGATTGAAGTTGTTAACAATTACAGCTTACTTGGATCCACAATCAACACTCTTAACACCAGCAGTCAGGAAATCAAAGGACAAATTGCACTGGGAATATCCACTGTTGTGGCCCTCTCCAGAGTGCTGAAGACCAATGATGTCAGTCTAGATACATAGGTGTGCCTGATCCAGGCCATGGTCTTCTCAATTACATGTTATGCTTCAGAGAGTTGGACAATGACTGAGGATGACAGGAGAAGAATAGATGCCTTCAAGTTGTGGTGCTGGAGAAGAGTCTTGAACATAGCATGAACTGCCAAGAAAACAAATAGGTCTGTCTTAGAGAGGTGAAGCCAAGTCTTTCCTTGGAGGCTAGGATTTTGAAACTCTGCCCCACTTACTTTGGGCACATGGCCAGGAGAGATTAGTCCTTGGAGAAGGGCATCATGCTTAGAAGGGTGGTTGAACAGTGCAGGAGAGGGAGACCCCGGAAGAGATGATTGATGCAGTAACTGGGGTGGTGGGGGTTGGTGTGTCAGAATTAGTGAGACTTGCTCAGGACAGGGAAGGGTTCAGAGCGGCTGTACATAGGGTCACTATGCATCTCAGGCAACTCATTCAATGGCAATCTATGACAGGTTTGGAAGCAGGAATGACATCCACTTCCTAAAAACTTGCCTCCAGAAACTCGGTGAACTTTGATAAGTGTCGATAGTTGTAGAGGGCTTTAGGCCTTTTGTTCATAGGGTCGATATGAGTTGTGCTTGACTTGAAAGCAATCAGCAACAACAACAACAACAACAACATATCCATAAAAATAATAATGTAGAATTTTTATAAAGGTTGCCTTTTTTCAATCTAAGCTACTACTGTTGTTTCCATATACATTTTAGAATCAGTTTATCTCTATTATTGCCAAGTCATTTTCAGCTTCTGGTGACACCATTGATTACAGAGTAGAGTGATCTATAAAGCTTTCTTGAATGTAGTCTTTATAAAAGCAAATTCACATGCTTTATTTCCTTTCTAAGTGAGTTCAAATCACAAAACTTTAGATTAGTTCATAATTTCATACTATATACACCACCTAGAGATCTAGGTGATAGTTAAGTCTTTGGTTAACTATTTAAGAATCTGGCAAATTGTTGTAGACTTGAGGGCCAGTCTCAGTTGTATACTCTTTCTTGGAATCTAAAATAGTAAATCTACTTTTTAAAAACTATTTTACTTGGCAATAACAGATTCGGTTATTTTTTTTTAACATTTGACTTAGTCTTTCCACATGTAGTTATGTATCTGAGAAAAGGGAAAATTTACACTTATATGAAAACTTGTATAAGATACTTACAGTTGCTCTATTTATATTTGTCAATAACTGGGGGAGGATAGGAAAGTGGAATTGTCTTTCAAAAGATGACTAAATAAGCAAATGATTGTTCATTCCCACAATGGACTATTACTCTTCAATTAAAAAGAAAAATTGATAGCAATAATAACACAGCAAACAAAATCATTTTAAAAAAGCATTAAAATTAGTGAATGAAGTCAGTAACAGAAGTTGTATATCAATGTTTCCATTTTGGAAAAGGTAAAACTACATTATTAAGACCATATCCGTGGTTCTCTGGGATTATGGTCTGCATAAAATTGACATAAAAAGGAGAGTTGGGTTTTTTGTTTTACTTTGATGATGGTCTGATCTCTATCCTGAATGTGATAGTTACAAAAAAATGTTTGTATGTTACAACTCATAGAATTGCACACTACATAAAAGGCAAATTATATGTTCATTTAAAGTTTAGACATAATAAAACTATAAGAAATAAAAATGGCACTGAACTTAGTTTAGGTGCAAGTGAATTTTATCACACTGGGATCTTTTAAAGGAAGGTCTGGTAATCAAGTTCATATAGAGAGTTGTACTGCTAACCCAAAGGCCATATCTCTCTGACAGTTTAAGTTCCCCTGGAGTTTGCGAGAAAGAAAATTTGTGTGATTTACAGTCTTGGGGATCCAATGGAAGATCAGCTCTGAGTCAGTTTCTAATTGTTGGCAGTGAATGAATAAATTTTCTAGATCTAATACAGAAAATGTAGCATACATTATAAGAAAAAAATATATGTATGCATATGGAATAAATAGAAAATATTTCTATAAGGAAGGAAATAAATACCATGATGAATGATACAAATAACTCAAAATAATCATCATACTGATTTTGTTTTTACTGTGTTTGGAAGCTGTCAAATTGGATATGACTGGTGTAGGAGGAGATTGCCCCTCCTTCTCCAGCAGAGCATCTAGTGGATTCAAACCACACGCCTCTGGGTTGTAGTGCAGCTTCCTGACATTAGGCCACCATTTCAAATGAATATTCCTTAAATAATACAGCAATCTTTTGTCTGTTTGCCAAACTGAACTACTTGGTGTTGCCGTGATACTGCACACTTTTCCATAGTCTTGTCAAATACCATAATGATTACCCATTATGTGCAGTATGTCGATGAGCTTCCAGATTGATTTATGCTGGGAAGCAGGAGTGGCATCCACTTCCTAAACTTAGATGCCTCTGGAAACTCTACAGACTCTCTAAACTCTATAAATGTACAGAAATGATGATAGTTATAGAACAGAATTCTGTACAGAAAGGATGTTAGTTATAGAATAGAGTTCAGGTCTTTTGTGCAAAGCTTACTCTCAGTCATATTCGACTTGTGACACTTAACCACTGCTAAATGAAACTAGTGCTGTTATATTTGGAGGAACACTCTTCCACTTTGTATATCACTCATTGTCAATGTGCAGTATGAAGTAATCTGGGTTGCTGTGATGCTGAACCTTGTACCATTGGGGTATCAAATATCCAAATGGTTTTCCAACATGGGCAGTGTTTAGTGGAGCTCCCAGTTGTAAAACAGGTTTGGAAGCAGGAGTGACATCCACTTCTTAAACCACTTGTCTCTGGAAACTCTATGGACTTGGATAAATTATAGTTTTGAAAAGTCATTAGGCCTTTTGTTCATACAGTTGTTCTCAGTTCAACAGCAATCAACAACAAAAACATATTTGGAAGTGGGAGTGATATCCACTTCCTAAATAGCATGCCTCTGGAAACTATGAACTTTGATAAATGTCGATAGTTGTATAGGGGCTTCAGGCATTCTGTTCATAGGTTCGCTGTGAGTTGTGCTTGACTCGAAGGCAGTCAACAACAACAACAACAACATCATGTTACTAAATGATTATGGATTTAATATAATGCTACATTTAGTTTTCATTTCCTCAGTCTATTCTGGATGACTGTAGCTGGGAGAGAGACTTAAAGCAGGTGTGTGTCATAAAAAGTGTATGTGATATTAAAGGCACCTACTGGAATATTTTTGAGTTTGCAGCCATGGTAATGCATGCTCATGTCTCTGGTTTGTCACAGACACTCCGTCACAGCGGGTGCAGTTTATTCTTGGAACTGAGGATGATGATGAGGAGCACATTCCTCATGACCTTTTCACAGAACTTGATGAGATTTGCTGGCGTGAAGGCGAGGATGCCGAATGGCGAGAAACTGCCAGGTGAGGACTCTTGTCTGGATTAAGGTATACATGAGAATGTTCATTCTATTTTGATATTTTTAATGCAACACTTTAGTTGCAAACATCCATGTATGCTTTCTGAAGTTTCTCATCTGGTCTGGGCATATTCTATAACGGGATGTGGGTCAGCATGAAATCTGAAGGCAGTAATTATAGTGAACAGTGACACAGAGTCAGCAACAGCTGCAGCCTTAAAGATAAACAGTAACATAATTTGTGTGTCTTTAGCAAAACAATAGAGATTTAACGGTAACTTATTTCCATCTTATTGCTTACTGGCTCACACTCTGAGGAGTGACATTATATATAATTTGAATATGAGGCTTTTGTACAAAGAAAAGATGAACTTAATGATAAGGGCTTTAGGGACAGTCCTGAATTACGTATTCTATTTTATGAGGGCTAAATATTTGATAATATTGTTGTAAGGCATGTATATACTTAAATTTAGTGACTTTAAGATAACTTTTAATAAATTTTATCTATAATGATAGATAAATTATATTTTTATATTATTGTATTATTATTATTATTGAATGCCATTTAGTTGATTCTGACTGTGTAATTGATGAGTTGCTTTAAAAAATATGCTAAATTTTGTGAGGTTTTTTCCCAATTTTTTTCCCCACTGGCTCATTTATTTCACAGACCTCATGAAGACTTAACATATACCCATTATAATGAGTGCAAAATGAAACAAAAAGAATCTTAGATCTTACTGTTAGTAATTTCAGTCTAATGAAACATTTAGAGGAGTAAACAATGCTGTGTAAATATTGTGATACAAGTGTTTACTAGGAGCTATGGACACATACTATCTTTCCTCTGTTGCTGTTAAGTGCTGTAGAGTTGTTGGCGACTCATAGTGACCCTATGAACAAAAGACCTGAGCGCTTGTATAATTTTCATCCTTTCTCCAGATTCATAGGGTTTCTGGAGGCAGGCTATTTTTGAAGTGGATGCCACTCCTGATTCCAAGCTTGTTTTAATCAGAGAGCTCCACCAAACACTGTCCATCATGGGTAACCATTATCACATTTGACACGTCAGTGTCACAGTGTTCAGCTTCACAGCAACCACGAGTTACTTACTGTTTCCCAAATTTCTACTGAAGATTCAACTGTAATCTTAATGTGCAGGTTCAGTAGGCCTTTTATGAGCTCAACTCATCGCCTTGAGTGAGAATCTGCTCATTGCTGACCCTTTGGTGAGTTTCAGAGACTCTACACAGGAGGAAACTGCTCATCTTCTTCCTGGTGAGCCACTTGTGGATTTGAATAGCTACAGAGGTTCTCGCTTTGGGCTTTAACACAGTGTCCTATGTAATGTGCTGCCATAGCTCCCTAGGCCTTGTATGTTGTTTTTGCTGATTACCATTGAGTCGAGCACAACTCATAGCAACCCTATGAACAAAGGGCCTGAAGCCTTTCTACAACTATTGTAATTTATCAAAGTTCCTAGAATTTCCAGAGGCATGTTGTTTAGGAAGTGGATGCCACTCGTGATTCCACAGGTTCTGAAATTTTGCCTTTTAAATGATTTTCTTTACTTGCCATTTGAAATAATTTGTTGATGAGGGTGCAGCCAGAGTTCTCTTTGGAGGCAAGGATGATGAGGATTCACTTCACATACTGTGTGCATGTTGCTAGGAGAGGCTATTCCTTGGAGAAGGACTTGATGCTTGGAAGGGTGGAGGGTCAGCAAAGCGGAGGAAAACCTTCAACAATGTGGATTGACATAGTGACTGCAGCAGTGGACTCTACTGTGTCAGGGAGTGTGAAAATGGCACAGGATAGGACGAGGTTCAGATCCACTGTTCATAGGGTTGTTATGAGTCGTACTTGACAGCACCTAACAACAACAACAACACCCTATATGAAATACCGATTTTATGGACAATTTACATTAAGGGAATCTATTTTCTCCATGCTTCTTTCTATTGCAATATTTTATATGTACAATTAAATTGAAAAGTTTTTTTTCTTTTTAATCTGAGAAATTTTGAGTAAAATCTTGTGTATTCACCCCCCCCCAACTACATTAGAAACTAAGTAATTGGGAATAAAATTTTTCTAAAAAGAAAAATAAACCCAATATATGGTAATCTCTAAAAATTTAATGATAAAACTTTTGCTCTTTCATGATTAAATAACTGTTGATAAAATAGATGAGCTGTACATCTCCAAGGTTTAAGGTAGAAGTCACCCCTACATTTCTTACTGTGCTCAGCAAGAAATAGGTGTTTTTCTGGATGACATCAAAGAAGGTCTTTTGGCATTGGTGACTTGACAGGCCTGGTCAGTTGAGTCTCTTTGGAGATTTTCTAGGATACAAATTTGGAAACATTTCCCTTACATTTCTTTTATCAAGACATGGAACTGGAACATACATTCTTTCATGAACAACTCTCTTATTCTTAAAATATGTTTTGCTGTTTTGTACCTTCGAGAAGCAACTGACCCATAGCTGATTGGTGGATTTTCAGACAGTTAATCACAAGAGAGGAGATTGCCCACTCTTCTCCCATGCAGCTGATGGATTGAACCCCGATGCCTTCTGGGTTACAATGCAGCTTGTTGCCATGAGGTGGTGATTTGTTCATCTTCCAGATGAGTGATCTGATAATTTTACCCAGTAACTCCCTTGTAACTTGTTCACTCATGTAAAGCTAAGAGGCCGTATGGGCAATATACCCACTTCTTTACTCATTGATGTGGTTTATTTCCAAAGACTCATTGGGTGCAACTTAGGACGATGTGAGAATGGAGGATGGCCATATCAAATCACAAAAAAGGAAAGTGACGATAATATTATATAACTGGCAGATTACATCATTATACAAATATCAAACCACTGAGCAACATGGCCCATCAGCCATGTTGACATAGACTCTGGACTATCACAATCAGACAGTTACCTTCATTTCACACCTGAGTGTTTGTTACTACCAGACTATGTTGTTAATAGCAAAATAGTCAGATAGTAGATTTTTAAATATTGTAGTAAATGTAAATGGGAATGTCAGAACACTTGATTGTACTTATATGAAATCTTTACTTGGACCAAGAAGCAGTCCTCAGAACAGAACAAGGAAACACTGCATGGTTCAAGATCAGGAAAGGAATGCATCAGGGATGCATCCTGCCCCCATACCTTTTTAATCTTTATGCAAAACAGATCATTCAGGATGCAGGGCTTCATGATGAGGAATGTGGCATCAAAATTGGAGGACAACTGATTAACAGCCTTTGATATGCAGATGACTCATCCTTGCTTGCTGAAACTGAAGAAGACCTGAAATGCTTGCTGCAAAAGATCAAGGACTGTAGTCTCCAAGATGGATTGATGCTCAACATCAAAAAGACAAAGATTCTCACCACTGGGCCAATTGGCAACACCCATGATAGATGGAGAAGAGATTGAGGTTGTTAGCAGTTACAGGTTGGATACACAATCAACACTCTTAACACTCGTAGTCAGGAAATCAAAAGCCAAATTGCATTGGGAAAATCTGTTGTCATGGACCTCTCCAGAGTGCTGAAGAGCAACAGTGTCAGTCTAGATAGAAAGGTGTGCCTGATCCAGGCCATAATCTTCTCAATTACTTGTTATGCTTCAGAGAGCTGCACAATAACTAAGGATGACAGGGGAAGAATAAATGCCTTTGAATTGTGGTGCTGGAGAAGAGTCTTGAACATACCATGGACTGCTAAAACAAGTAGGTTTGTCTTAGAAACAGTGAAATCAAATATCTCCTTGGAGGCTGGGATATTTTTGGCATATGGCCAGGAGAGACTGGTCGATGGAGAAGGACATCATGCTCAGAAGGGTGGCTGGACAGCGCAGGAGAGGAAGACTCCGGATGAGATGGATTGATACAGTATCTGGGACAATGGGGCTTGGTGTGTCAGAATTAGTGAGATTGGCTCAGGCTTGGGAAGGGTTCTGAACTGCTGTGCATTGGGTCACTATACATTGGAGACAACTCAACAGCACATAACAACATACTATATTGGTGGCACTTATTTAAGCGTCTTGTTTAGAGTCAACAAGACCTCAGGGAGGGACTTTGTTGGTTGGTATTATGCTATACTGAGGTAATTGGGGTTGTTGTGATGCTGAACCTTGTGCCATTGGGGTGTCAAATGATAAAATGGTTACCCATGGTGGAGAGTGTTTGGTGGAGCTCCCAGTTGAAGACAAGTTTTGAAACAGCAGTGGCATCCACTTCCTAAGCAACATGCCTCCGTAAACTGTATGAACTTTGATAAATGTCGATAGTTATAGAAAGGCTTCAGGCCTTTTGTTCTTAGGGACACTATGAGTCATGCTTGACTCAAAGGCAATCAGTAACAATAGTAAATGTAAAGTGTGCAATGATGAGGTAGCCTGTAAATGTTGCACAAGTGTATATATGTACTAGAATTTAGTTCTTTCAACCCTGTTAAACTGGTAGAATTTTATAATGCTTTGGTAGTGGAATTTTCCCTTGAGCACAATGAACTACTAAATGACCAAAATTTATTGCAGAATGTTTATAAAGAGTAGAAGAGCTGATCTGGCTAATTAGCAACTTCAGCTAATGTCATTACATGGAATTTGTTATGGATTGAGTTATGCTACCCAAAAATATACATCAGCCTGGCTAGGCTGTCATTGGAGCATTGTGTAGTTGCCTTCACTTTTGTAATTGGCATGACTACCTTTCATTTTGTAAAAGATAGAAGTCTTAACCACTGTATGTTAATGGGAGCCCTGGTGATGTAGTAGGTTAAGCTTTAGACAGCTAAACCAAGGGTTGGCATTTCACATCTACTAGCCATGTTCTGGGGATTAATGTACCCCGTCTGCTACTGTTAGGATTTACAGTCATGAAACCCCAGTAGAGGGTTGTCATAGTTGGAATCAACTCAATTACAATTAGTTTGGCTTGTTTTTTAATATGGTAACATTGCTGGATCAGTGTTAGGTGTATTTTT